AATTCATTGTTTGATCTTGGAACAGACATGCTGGTTAGATCTAGATAAGCTCCTCTATAAAGCAATTCGGTGCCTAGGATGCATCTCGGCTTGTTTCTAGCTCTAAGGTCCATTTTTTCCTAACTATTCAAACATGATTAGGATAAAAAGTGACAGTGGCAGTATGAGAACCGACATTTTCCGAACCCTAATCTAGTCATTTCTCCGGATGCTGTCAATGGCCAAGAAGAAGACAGAGCCTGGGGATATTCTTTATGTCAGAGGTTTCCAGATGTGAGTGCCTATCAGATTCATCTGGCTATTATCTTATTATTAGTATTATTTATTTATTATTTTTAGAGAGAGAGATTTTTGCTATAGAGCATGTGCACTCACTGGAGAGACAAAGTGAGACAGAGAGACAGCAAGAAATCAGCTCCCTTCCAGGGGGATGGCCACACCACAATCCTTTCTTTTCCATTCTCCTCTCAGGATTTTAGGCATGCACACACATACGGCTGGGGTGAGTTTTAAGCCAACGGGATCTGGGACCAGAACTGCAGTCGACTATGTGGGTGTGGAAGTCCAGTGACATAGCCATTACACATTACATTACATATGCTAGTCCCTCTTATCATTATTATTTTTTAAAGTTTATTTCTGTCTTTCACAACAGTGTATGTGTGTGTGTGTGTGTGTGTGTGTGTGTATGTGTGTATAGAGAGAAATACTCTCAATCAGTTTCATGCTGTAATCTCCTCACCCTACCCCAGTCTTTCCAGGCAGCCAGGATCATGGGTGTGTGCACAACTGGTGTGTACATGTTTAGTGAACAACTGAACCCATATTTTTCCATACTGACCCAGCATCATTGAGCCGTGCTTCACTGTTGTGCTACAGAGCCAGTGCTACCAGGCTATTTTCGTTAAAAATAGACACTCTGGACTTCCTTGGTAGATATTTTGATTGTATAGATCTGGTTTCTCAGCTTGTTTTGGAACCTACTGATCTGGGTCATAAAAATTGAATTCTGAAGGTATCAGTACAATGGCCTTTCCTGGAAGTGGTGCAAACAAAGTAACCTGACTGTCATTTGACTGTGATGTGACTAATTGAATAGCTAAATTAAACAAGACCTGCTGGGAATATTAAGGTATATGCTCCAAAGTCCATTTTATCTTAGCAAGTCTGACATCTAACTCACAGATAATATCTTCCCCTGATTTTAAGGCAGAATCTTGGAGAAAGAGAAAATAGGGTAAATGAGCGTGATATTTCAAATCCCAGAGTCATCTCCGGAGGGGGAAATTGCACTGAATTTCCTCTCCCACAATCATCTTTCAGATGGAATAAATTAATGTGCTTAGCTGCTCCCAAACAATGACTTTCAGACAATGACCTTCATCTCCTCAATTCTCTCACAGAGATAAGGTAAAGAGCAGCCACATGGCTCCTGCTGTTAAGTGGAATCTAAGTGGAAGAGAAGAGAGGCACTATTGCTTCTGAGCTGATAATCACCTAAAAAAGGCATTTAACAAGGTCCAGAGAGGATTTGAGTTGGGGTTTTTTGTTGCACTAAAAAAAAAAAAAAATCTGTTTCTGAGTTTCTCCATGCTATGTATACACAATAATAGATAGAGCTTGAGAAAATAAGGTCAACCATATTGTATAAAATTGATGAAATAATATTTCTCCATATATATTGCAAATGATATGCTAATAATTATTTGTTTGATTATATTTTACAAAATATGCTAAAGGAAAATCCAAAATAGCACAGGTATCCAAGTTTCTTCCTGTCTCCGCCACACCTGGAAAAGAAATCAGCACACATTAATGTCAACTTTTTCTCAGGAGATCTGCCTGAGGAGGTGGCATTGCACAATGGAAGGTCACTCACTTCAAAGTTCGAATGCCAACTCTGCCGTTACTAAGCATGTGACCTTGGGAATAGGCACCAGCCTCCTGAATTATTGTATTAAAGCTCTTAACTAGCTCCCTGCTTTTGTCTTTGCCCTTTAATCAATCAGGATACAACAAAGAGATCTTATACCACTCCAAGCTTACCACGGTCTGATGACCTGTCTCCCTCAGAGTCAAAGCCTAAGTCCTTACAATGGTTGTTAAGGTCCTATGTGATCTCACATCACCCCCACTTTGGTTCTGACTTCATCTTGTGCTTTTCCTTGTCCACTGTCCCAGCTCTTGGGGCTGCCTTAGCATTCCTCAAACATGTCAGGAATCCTCCCAGCTTGGAGCTTTGTACTTGGTATTCTTTCTACCTAGATTGCCTTTCCTCAGTTATCTATGTTGCTCACTCTTTTTTTTTTTTTTTTGGAGAGATTTTCACTGTAGGGCGTGTGCACTCGCCAGACAGACAGAGAGAGACATAGAGACAGAAAGTGAGAAATCACCCCCCAGGGGGGATGGTCACGCCGCAATCTCTTCTCCTCCATTCTCCTCTCGGGATCTTGGGCACGCACGCACATGCGCCCGGCGTGAGTTTTAAGCCACCGGGTCCGGGACACGAACCGCGGTCGACTATGTGGGAGTCCAGCGACATAGCCATTACGCTAACTGCTGGTTCCCTCACTCTTTCATATCTGTTAGTTCTTTATCTGAACATTGCCTTCTTAGTAATACATATCTCAGATGGTCCATTTAAAATCATAATCTATCCCCTCAAAATATTTTATATTTTATAAAATATAACCAGACAAATAATTATTAGCATATCATTTGTAATATATATGGAGAGATATTACTGCATCAGTTTTATACCATATGGTTGGCCTTATTTTCTCAAACTCTATCTATTATTGTGTATAGCATGGAGAAACTCAGAAACAGATTTTTTTTAAGTGCAACAAAAACCCCAACTCAAATTCCCTCTGGCCTTGGTAAGTGCCTTTTTTAGGTCATTATCCCCTCAATGCACTAATTCATTCCATATTGGAATTTCTTTTTCCTTATCTCTTTTTACCACCCAACATACTATATAATACCTATCTCCTTATCAGTCTATGCAATGGAATATAAGCTTTACAAAGATAAGAAAGTTTGCTAGTTACATTCACTGATCAATTCTTAACACCTAGAATTAATACTAATCTGGTAAATAGTCATTGAACAAGTGAGGGAAATAATGAATGAATGAAAGGGATTCTATGAATAATGGGATTCTATGTGACTCATTTACTCATTTGTAAAATGGGAATAATATTTCCTAGCATAACCTTCTCACATCCTTAGCATCTGCTTTATCATAAATACCTTCCTCTTCAGATCTAACAGATACATGGTTAATTTATGTTATCCATACCTTGAGGATAACATTAATAAATAAATAAACTTCTACTTATGATACCAGCACTCTAATTCCACAGTCCCATTATCAAGATTTCATTTTGTAAATTAGCTTAACAAATACACTAGTTATGATTGGGTCATGCTCTTTTACAACGTAAACATTCAATAAATATTAGTTTCATGTTTTTCTCCTTTCATATCTTATGCATATAAACACCATCTCAGCCAATAAGCTCCTTTTAAAGTTTCTTTGCTTACTTTGGTAAAACCCAATATACTGCAATTCAAATACTAAGCAGAGATTCAATAAATATTGGTTTAAATACATTAAAGGCAAGAAATTTAATAACGTTTTTCTCCTTCCAGAAATGGTCAAGTTCCTTAGTGGGCCATTCCCAGGAGTAAGTATTTTCAGGGAAGGTGCAGACCCAGCTAAAACAGCAATGATTTTGCAGTATATACCTCCTGGATGCCTACACCCCTGAGAGGTAGTGAGCAAAGACACAACAGGCCTAGGGGTTGCTTAGCTAGATTCTGTTTTCCATGAAGATCTTTTGGCGACCACATATATGTTTCAGTTTATTTATCTAAGAGCTCCTCTTGTAAAGCCAGGCCAGGAAAAAAAAAAAGAGAGAGAGAGAAAGGCCAGATGTATTAAGAAAGGCAAGTGCCTGGAAAGTCTTGGATTGGGTTTCAACTAGTAATTATAAAATGCTAAATTTAATCCAAGGCACTCTAGTTTCTCTTTCAAGACCACAGAGCCCTGAGGGAAAGTATAGTACAACAAATAAAGGTGGCCTCACAGCCCATGGGGGAGTATTCACAGATTTTCAGAGAATTTTTCATTCAAGAATCCAAACTTAAGTGGGTCACATTTGGGATGTGAGTGTGTGTGTGTGTGTGTGTGACCTACATAACAGTGCATGATGAAAGAAAAATGATTTATAAGTAAAATCCCAAGCTTCAGAGGACAGAGTGATATTACCCACACTCTGCTCGGTATGAGGCCCTCCTCCCTTAAGGCAATGTATTTACACAATATAGGAATTGGGTAACAATGACTATAAACTTTCTTCTAATACTGCAATGAGGCTGAAACTACAGAGAGAGCAGATACAATGAAGAACCCTCAGGGAGACAAATCACCAAAGCATTATTAATATATAGAGAGAACCAATTATCTAGATGATACAAAGTACCAGATATTGGGAAGTAGGGAATTACTAAAGAGGTCTCCTTGAAATGTGTGTAACTAAGAATGAAGAACTAAAATACGAAAGTATTGATGATACAATATGCAAACTTAGCAATGACTTAGTCTGACTCCAAAGTGCAGAATTTATGTCCTGGGCTATATGAACTTACTAGTCAGCAAATCCAAACTTTAAGCCATTTAAAACCATGAGATAAACCTCAGGCTTTGTGCAAGAAAAGGCATATTCCAACCCAGAAAACAGAATGCTAGTAAGTAAGTGAAATGAAATAAAATTTTTCTAACAATAACAAATAATATTATTGAACTATTTTTTGAGACTTTACATTTGGGATGAAATGGCACAAGCTTTTTCTCCCTCCTTGCCCCAGTTCAGTATGGCTAAAACCACATGGAGATAATACAACAGATAGCTATAGGAAAACTCTGAAAAGCAGGGAAAGAAGGTGAAATGACTGGGGATCCCAGGACTTGGGAAAGTATTCCTGTGTTTTCTGACCTTCCATCCAGGGCTAGAGTTGACAGGTCTGGCATCTCCTTGTCCTCCACTCAGCAGGAGAAGGTGACTCGGGTGGTGCTTTCCTCTCAGATAACACCAGCAGAGATCCAATGAGAGCCCTGTCAACACATGACCAGCAAAAAGAAATGGCATCTCATCCCCTACCACGTGGCACTGGGCAGTCTGGGGATGTCTCTTCCTTCCCCAGGGTTGGACCCAATGGAGATCAAACAGGAGACTCACCAACACCAGGCAAATTGCAACATGACCACACCCTAATGGGAGGTGCTTTCCTCTTCTTCTTTTGCTGTCTCTCTGGCAAGCACACGCTCTTCTCTAGCAATTGAAAAAAAGAAAGCAAAACAGGATTATACTGAAATCATACTTGATAGTTAAAGCATAAATTATAATCATATGTTTTGTTGTGTTCAATGAATGTACAGAAAACAATTCAGACATTGTATTATAAAGACTGGGAGGAGCAGGGTCAGGAAGCAGCATGGGGGTAATGCCAGTAGACCCGCATAGTCAAGATCCTGGACATTGTCTAAGGCACACTGAGTTTGAGATAAATGTGGAGCAGTCAAGTGAAGATGCTCAGCTCTTCAAAGAGTTAGGAACAAAAGACACAGCGTTATTGATTAGTGAGTCACCAGCACAGAGTTGGGATCATTTAGAGAGAAGAGAGAAAAGCTTCAAGAAGAAAATCCCAGGGAACAGCAATGCAGAAAGTGAAGACAGAAGAAAGAATCACAAGGAGCCTCTCGTTGCACACCTTTTATGTCTGCATGTATTTCTAGACTGAGCATCTGTCCTTTAATTCTGTATCTTTTCCTATCCTGATGCTATAGATCAGGAAATCCTTTGGCCTTTGGAGTACTGTATTTAATATAGTTTTGTTTTTTTTTTTAAATTTACTTTCTCATACCAAGGGCAGTACTAGTATTCAATTAAAGAAGGAACTAGGGCTTAACCCTTCCAACATTGTTTTGTTTTTATCAACTTAGTTTTTATAACTAAGAAGAGCAAACTAACCACAGGTCATTTAATCTGTATTTACACAGGCCTGTCATGCCTGGTTAGTAAGTTTATCTTCAAATATGTTTAATTATCAATTTATTAATAAATGTCCCTACATGGAGGATTTATTATGCATGAGAAAAAGTATGGTAAACCATAAATTTAGGGAGATTCCAAATTTCCTGTTCTGAATTTCTTTTTGGAGTTAATACAAAATCAACCAACGGAAGAGTACAATTTAATAACCTCTCTTTTTAAAAATTTGGCCAGATGGCATGTACGCTTATAAGAAAGAGACAGAGAGAGAAAAGAAAAGTGAAAAAAGCACCTCCCGTGGGTGTTGGTCACATTAAAATCCACTCTTCTCTCTTTCTGGGATTTTGGCCCCCACACACGTGTGTGCACGCACATACACACAGGAATGTTTTTCAAGATGCAAGATCCAGGACTGGTACAATGCAGCTGACCATGCGGGATCCAGTTGCCTTAACCACTATGCCTAGGCTCGAGTGAACAAGCTCTTTGATCTCATCTTGTTTTCAAGTTATTCTCTCTTGAGGTTATGATTAGGAAGACCATCCTCCTCTTCTATCTCTTCTGTTTTCATTGATCTGTCTGTTGTTTACTATATGGATTATCATTGATATGATATCATTGTTTTGAACTTGGAACTACTACTCAATGGAAAAAGAGAGGTTAAAAGTCTAGAATGCACAGAAAGGAAATGAAATTCAACAGCTTCAGAGAAAGGTTTCTTATTTTAAAATTAGATTAGTTTTTTCTTTTTTTTCTTTTTTCCCAGTTTGTTTGTTTGCCATAGGGTGCACGCATTCACCAGAGAGAGACAGAGAACAGTAAGCGGGAAAGTGAGAAATCACCCCTCAGGAGGTATTAGTGAGAAAATATTGAAATTGAAGTCTCTTTTAAAGATGTTAACTTGAATATTGAGTCAGTGCATATCTTATCAGTTGTCTTCTAATCTGAATAAGAAAAGCCTATAACATATATATATATATATATATATACATATATATGTGTAAGTATATATACATATATACGTATATATACGTATATATATGCACATATACATACATATATATACATATATATGTGTGTGTGTGTATATATATATATATTTAAGGAGAGACTTGAAATCAACAATGGGAAGATGAACCACCAGCAGGTCTGATTCCAACATGAAGAGTACATAGAAATCCAGGGAACCAGCAGTTAGCGTAATGGCTATGTCGCTGGACTCCCACATAGTCGACCGCGGTTCGTGTCCCGGACCCGGTGGCTTAAAACTCACGCCGGGCACGTGTGCATGCGTGCCCAAGATCCTGAGAGGAGAATGGAGGAGAAGGGATTGCGGCATGACCATCCCCCCTGGGGGGTGATTTCTCGCTTTCTGTCTCTATGTCTCTCTCTGTCTGTCTGGCGAGCGCACGTGCCCTACAGTGAAAATCTCTCTCCAAAAAAAAAAAAAAAAAGAGTACATAGAAATCTGCAAGGAACCATTGAGGTTGGTGACCTGCAGTGACATGGACCATAGAATATACCCAGCTGTCTCCTTCCAGTTTACTTCCAAGGGTAGTGATTAATCCTAAAAGGACTCTTTGTTTATTTCTTCTAGTAATGCCTTAAAACCGAAAGCAGACACTTAAAAAACTTTTTCAACAGGATATAGAAAGATAAGACACATGTCAGAAGTTTCAAATGGTAGTCTGGTTCCCTCTATTTTGTTCCTATCTATTTTGGAGGTATATGCAAAAGATCTGGATCCCAGCTAGCTATGTGGTCCCAAAGCTTTATTCATTTATATCATATGGAGCAAGTTATACCTTGTAAGAGTAATTACAGATAAGTCACTTAAGGCAGCTCATAAAAAGTGGGCAAAGATGTTTGAGATCATTGTCTAGCTCAAAGTTTTATCAATCTTTTAAAATTCAAGAATATCCATACTTTTCTAAATCTCACCAACAGAATGTCAACATAAGCTTTCCAGTCTGAAAGATTGGTTAAGAAGGGGGAGATCGAATAATGGTCAGGGATCCAGGAATCTTTTATACTGCTGGGTTTATACTGCTTAAACAATGACCTTCAATAGTTCCTTCACTCTGCTTTCCAGTTTCATCATTTATAAAATGTGTTTATTTGCAATGTATTTGTTTGTCCCAATGACTCCACTTGCAAGAACAGTTCATCTTAGCCATGGTAATAAATGTAATGGTTATAATAATAATGCTTTTTACATGCTTGGTGCTGTTTGAACCTGTTTATACTTAACATCTGAAATCATCCTCATGCTAGCCCTATGTAATAAGTACTATAATTATTATTTCATATTACTATTTCTTACAGAAAAGGAACTGATGCAGAGAGGTTAACTGATTATCCTGATATTATTACACATAGTTCATTTCATTAGCCAGATTCAGATGTAGGCACTTCCCTAACCACCATGCATACTCATATTATGGGATGGGGCCATTTGACTGAGATTTTTGGAAATGAAGTCTTAAGTACTCATGGGTGAAAACAGTAACCTAGAAATGGAGACCTCTACTCCAGATCCCTAAGCATTGCAGGTGTGGTAGTCTGGACTAATTCCAAAGCATGTGCCCCTAGAACAAAAAGAGGGGAGTCTAACAATAAATGACACATTTAATATGCATGGAGATTTCTTGTGTATTTCATTCCCGAACCTGATCCTATCAGTGCCCGAACATGTGCAATCTGAATTTTCTCCCTGATACAATAGTACACTATTAGTTAACATTGCATCTTTGATGGCAAATGACAAGCAAGCACACCAAACATGATCTATTTATTTTATTTCATTCCCTTTTAACTATGAGTTTGTTCTAATACCGAGTTGTGCCCCAAGAAGCCAGAAGGGGCAGTAAAGATCAGTGAAGAGGCATAGGCCTTCAACGATAATTTCCTCCTTGGTTTAAAAATCCTAATTTATTTCATGGATTATTATCCCAACTCCTGCTAGGACAGAACAGGGACTGTGTATATGTCAGGAAGAAAGGTAATCTCTCGCTGCACTTTTCAACAAGGTGTTAAATGATTTTTTTTTTTTTTTTGGCAATGAGTTTGAGTTTAACATTGTAACATTGTCTTAGAAATGGAGACTGCAATGAACAGCAAAAACATTAATTTTTGTTTTCTGATTGATGCATTTTTGATTATGCGTAAATTGGCATCTGCTCACAGACTCAGGAACACCTTTTCTAAATCTTTATTTTTTTATCTTGCTTATCCACTAAGGGATTAGCCCCATATTTTAGAATAGGAGATTTTCCTTGCTCAGTAACTTCCAAAGGACTTGTTTAAAATACACAGGAAATGTGTTACTTTCAATTAAGGAACACTCCTTGCGCTAGAAACACTGCACAAGTCAGAGAGGAGATCCAGCTTGTCTTGGCCTTAGGTCCTCAGCGTCCTGCTTTGTAGTGTCTTTTTCTTGTCCATTACCAAGTGGTTGCTGGGTTTGCCAGTTTATGTAACCAATACAACTAAAAAAAGGGAATTTAGAAACTGATGGTTAGAGACCAAAGCAATTATATACTTAGTCCTTAAAGCCCTGACCCCACTCCCAAACCAAAAATTTTGACGTGGGCTTGTGATTCTTGGAAAACTGGAATTCCACCCTTGAAAGTGATCTCTGGGTAGTGTATCAGTAATTTAAATTTGGAAATCAAAGTTACTCTACTTTCTAATAAGGTTGATGACAATAAGTGTTGAAAGCACAAGCGATCACTTCAGAGAATAGGAGGTATCCAAGACAAGATGAGAGATTCCTGTAAGTGATTACTATTGGATCAGCATTATCTTTAATCCTCAATTTAGCTTAACACTGCACATCAGGTGGACACAATTTTCCAGCAGTAATATGCCAGATGAAAGCAGCACACAGTCTACAATCCCTGAAAAATAAGCGAACTTCCATGTGTGCAGACAGCAGTCCCTATTTAACTCTTACATTGTTATTAAATTTTGAATATATAGCTCTGATTCCCCTAATAAGACTATAAGTTCCCAGAAGTTAAGGGAGAATATTTTACAAATAATTGTCCTCACGACTATTTGTGTTCACATCACAGTGTGTGAAATTCTTTAACA